ATGATATATTGCAGATTTTAGGATTAGACTATTAGATATTAGATTCACTACTAGAATGAGAAGGTAAGTAAAGTATTAAGAAACTGGAAAATTTTGAACTTCAAACCAATTTCTGTAGTGTTATGTAATATTTGTCCACTTATATGGCAATGAATGCTGGACAGTTTCTTCACAGATGAAGAAGAGATTTGAAGCAACAGAAATATGGTACTACAGAAGGATGCTGGGAATACCATAATTCTTCTTTGGATTTTATGAAGAATCTCTTAATGCATGACAAAAGCACCAGACCAGATGTGGCAGCAATATTCAATGCACAAATGAATGGTAGACTTATAAATGTGTAAAATAAGTTTTATATATTATAGATATTATTAATCTGAAGTATTTCATTTTTCAGCACTAAACTTGACACATAGTCGTTCGTTAGATACAAAGAGTGCTGAACTATTATATAATATTGGTTTTTTATATGACACTGAATGCTGCACAATCTTCTCACAGTTGACAAAGACTTGCAGCAATGGAAATATGGTTCTACAGAAGGATGCTGAGAATACTCAGGAATGAACGTGTGAGAACGTTTTAAGGAAACTAGAAACAATAAAAATGCCGCTGCTTAAGATCAGAAAGAGGCAGTTGAAATTTCTAGGAGAAAATGAGAAAAGAGGGCTTGGAGAATATGATACTCTCAGGGCTTGGAGAATATGATACTCACAGGGTACACTGAAGGCAAAAGGGGGCAGAGAAAATCAGTGAGTAACTAACATAACAAGCTTGTGTAAATGGCTGGTAGAACGGGCAGTTAGATGACAAGACAAATCTTACAAAGAGCTACAAAAACAGGAAGCTGTGGAGAGCCATGATTGCTGACATCCTGTAGGGGACATGGCTCATAGAAGAGTAAGTAGAAGACTTGGGTGAGATACTAAATTTAGAGTTATAACCTAGAGAGGGTTACTGAATGAGGAATAACCAAAACGAAGGTTGGGAATGAAATGGTAATCTTTATAACATCAACAAAATACAATACTCGCCAGTGGCATGAAGTAGGTAAACCACTGCTAGCGGTGGACTACTTAGACAGCATATTGCCCTCGACTTACAATAGTGTCCAACGTATTTATGAGGATTAGGACATACCCATTAGTGTTCATATGTACGGTATATAACAGGGTTTAAGTTTCACGACAAAACAGTACTTAATTGAAAATCGTTGCCAACGAATTTAAAATAGCGTAGATTTTTTTAATCATATCACCCCGTGCAAGTGAGTAAAGCCACTAAGACACAAGGGGTTACTGAATGTGTAAGAACAAGAAAAAAAGAGAAATATTAGGGAAAGAGCAGAATGTAGATAGCGATTGACATTGCATTTAAATTTTTGAAGATCGAAGTTGACTGGGAAGTAAGAAGCCGGAAGAGAGTTCGACATGCGTGAAGTGCAAGAGAAGAAACTCTTAGCATAGAACTTACGGTTACACCTAGCCAATTCAAGTGCGAATTGATGAGACCTCACCGCCCATCTAGCACTGCATTTAAATTCCTAAAGTCTAGGTACCATAGTGAAGAGTTCATCTGAGCAATTCCCCTGAAAATATTCATAGAAGAGGCACAGGGAAGCTAGGTTACTCTGGTTTGGAAGTGACTGAGACGAGCAATCATATTGATGTTTCCTGTAGGATTTCTTCTTTACTGTTCGGCTAAATCCAAAAATGCTTGTGTTGTGTCTTCGCGTCTATTGATATACACTTGAATTTTTCTTTCATTCTTTGTATTTTAAGTATTCACTTCAGTTTTTAGGTTTTTGCTTCGTTATGGGAAATCTCCAATTAGTCGCCTCCCACACAAGTTGAATAAATATAATTTCCCCTGTCTTTTTATTTACGTATAGCTGGCCACTCGTATTCGAGGATACCTGTCTTCTAGGCGCAGTTGTGTTTATTCAACACACACAGAGCCCACCTGTAGTTTATACTGCAACTATGCCGAGCAGACCTTAGTTACAGTTTCTGGGAAAGAGCGTATTATCTAGTGTGATGAACAATTTGAACAAGGCCAGCACGCTCAAGCCCTCGGCCACGATGACATGTGACTTCGTGTTAGCACAGCTATCGACGTCTACCCATTTTCACTGACAAGGCTTGGGTCAACCCGTGGTTTGGTTTTCAGGCACTTTCCAAAGGTGCCTGACGCTGGGATCGAACCCTTCAGTCCGATAACATCAGGACGTCTCCTTCCTGACAAATCAACCATAGTGAGATACAGTCTCTTTGTCAGAAGGCGAACGTTGTAACCACTCGGCCACGTGCCCACTTATCTTGATAAAGAAAGAACAAAACAAAAAAAAGGCAATCTCTTAGCCACAGAAGTCAACTGAGACACTTCTCAATGTTTAGCACTAAACTTCACGGCTTTCAGCGTGGAAAACTTTTGGCATCCTGTCATTACAGGTGTCCCTTGACTCTCATTAATCACTTTTTCCTGTTCAACATTTGATCTGGAAACTCTTTACCTCTCACCGTGCCGTTGCACCTTATCTATTCTCAAAGCTCTTACTTTTATTGCTATTAGAGCTTACTAACTGGAAGCCAAAGAGGAGCAGTAGACCGGTGTCTGCGAGGTGAAAATTAAATCAGTAATTAATTCTGAGGAAACGCAACCAAATTAATTCTACTCGTTCGGATTCCTGATAAGAAACGGGAATCCATACAAACATTTCTATTAGCATAATCCGCACAGCTTTGAATATCTATTCGGTCTCATGTTCACTCAAGGAAAACTTATACATACGATCCATGGCTAATGATGTTGGAAAAATGGTCGGCTCTTTCTGTAATTCCAGGGATGTGTAGGTGGTGCAATGGATAGAGAATGAGAAATCAGAGAGCTAAGTTCGCATTCCAGTTCAGAATCGTTAGATTAAGTTGGGAATTAGCTTTGGGAAAGGTATGGATCCATCACCTCCACCCATCTATGAGTTAAATAATAGAATCCGGAAAAATTATTGTTAATCTCAAAATTGACAATCCAAAATATTTTAAAGACATTTTTTATGTTTATACGTTCTTTTTATAGATACAAATATTTAAGTAAATGCTGTGTTTATAATAAACATATATTTATAATAAACAGTATTAACGACATTTCATAGAAAATATGCATCCTCTGGTAAATGTCGTTAATACTGTTTATTATAAACAGAGCATTTACTTAAATATTTGTATCTATAAAAAGAACGTGTAAACATAAAAAATGTCTTAAAATAATTGTCGGACTTTGTCCATTTCATAATCCAAAATATGTTTCGGTTTTAAATAACCCTAAATGGCGTAATAAATCGTAAAAAAACGAATTAGCACATATTTTTAAGTAAATGTTGCGAAAATGGTCTTTTTTAATGCATTTTAATCAGCTTACACGGAACGACGTGACGTGTATACAAAAACGTTTCTGCCAAGTTTAAGCGACATTGAAGAAACGTCATAGCAAGATGTAAATGGCGATTTTTGATTACTAGAAATACCCGTGAAAATTTTACGGTTTTCTTATTGGAATTTTCTGATGAATCAATTCTTTCGAAGTTAATGGACGCTTTGCGAATTCCTCGTCTATAAAACACCCATGGAAATTCCCTGATTGCAACATTATATATTTCTGCTTAATACCTTAAACAAAATATTGCAACAGCAATTTTAAGCAGTAAATGAGTACAAATAAAAGAAATTTGAATTTAACAAGTTTTTCTATTTCACTGAAGCAGACGTTAATAAACATGAGAGTGTTATCGTCTCCTCTGTTTTCTCTTTTTTTTTCTTATATAAACCGAACAGCGTCTCTGTCTTTTCCGTCTTTCCTCGCGATCAAAACGAAATAGTCCATTATTTATGAGGGATTAACAATCGTGCTAAGTACGGAACAAGCAGAATTATAATATGGCGAGAAAGACCCGTGAAAATTTTACGGTTTTCCAATTTGAATTTTCTGACTTTTACGTTAATGGCTCATAAGCTCTTTGCGAGTTCTACGACAATAAAGTATCCGTAGAAATTTCTCTATCTCATCATTAGATATTTGCGCTTAACAACTTTAACAAAATATACCAATAAAAATCACAAATATGAATGCTTGTCGTTATTTTAAGAAATAAGGGGGTACAAATGAAAATATTTGAATTGGACAACTTTCACTAAAACTGACGTTAAAAACGTGCTATCGACTCTTCTGTTTTCCCTTCTTTCTTTCATTTTCTCATTGAAACCAAATAGCGTCTTCGTTATGTCTTTTCTATGTTTCCACGCAATCAAAACGGAATAGTCCTTTATTTGTGAGGTATTGGCAAGGCGTAATGGTTGGACTAACTAAGAAACTAGCGAAGCGATAAGCAGACTGATAATATGTTTCTTAAAATTGCTTAGAATCTATGATTTAGTACCACTTCATATCTCATTAACACCCACAACTTACTGGCCTTGTTCAAATTTGATTTGAAAAATAGGGGGTTGTAATTAGCCTACCCTAGTGAATATGCATGTATTTATATCTATCTATCTATCTATCTATCTATCTATCTATCTATCTATCTATCTATCTATCAGCGTTTTTGGCTAATGACCATATTGCCGTTCTGGGTATGACGATAAATTACATCCGCGTCTTGGGTAAGACGATAAACTACGTCCAGCAGCAAAACCTCTGATCAGGAGTTTTTGAGGAGCGTGGAACCACCTTTTAATTGCTGATGTTCCCAGGTCCACTCTGACTCGGGGTGGTAGCACCTGTTAGGATCCCAGCTATGGACAAATAGTTGTCCCCACAACCTGACTCAAAACACTATGAAAGTGTACAAAGAGGTTTTAATACTAGAAATACTTAAAAAAAATAGTACTAGCAATAAATATTTGAAAAAAGAAAATATTACCAGAAATAAAAATCTTTTCAGCATTAAATAACCCATTGAGGTTAATATGCCACAAAACAAAGCAAACAAACCAAAACAAACGACCATATCACGTTGAAACATCGGTTCTCGTACGATCACCTAAGTTAAACAACGTTGATCCTGGTCAGTACCTAGATGGGTGACCGCTTGTGAATACTAGGTGTTGTCAGCTTGGATTTTCAGGCGGTGTAATGGATAACGGCACCGAATTGGAGATCGTCGAGTCAAATTCCAATTCCAGTCGGGTTCGTTATATTCGATTGAGCGCAAATACCCTTCTATTGCTTCTCCCCCCCCCATGGGTTAATTAGTCGGACTTGTGTCAGTAAATCATTGTTATCTCCCAAAAAAATTCTTACAATCTATAAATATTTTTTGACTTTAAATAAAAAAAAAATTTTGATAAACCGTAAAAAAAAACAAATCAACCAACCAATCAATTATAAGCGTTGGTATGTGCTTTGTTTTATCAATGCTTCACGTATTACACACCAAGTAATAGCCATGGTCCGTCGGAAGCATGAAATTTGAACCACAGTTTACTTTACGGAACGCTAAGATCAATTTATTAATTGTTAGCCTCGTTTTGAGTCTCAGCCGTGAACTCCATTTTCTATCATTCATTTTTCATAAAGATGCCCCCGAAAACCTCGGGCTACACTTCGTTTCCTGCCAATTCCCATTATATATTTATACGATATCCTAGCTGCGTATGAACACCGCAGACCAAAATACAAAATGTCTTTTCAGTTAATCTCTAGATTATTTATGGCCTTTGTCAAATCATCAACTGGCGTTGGGTTCTTTTTTGTAATTTGAGAGATCGAACTCTGACGTAAAGTTTAGTTCTGCCCATACGGCAACTAGCAACAAACCAAAATGACATTAAATATTCACAATGCTTATAAATGATAAAAACCGACAGCGTTAAACTGATAGTTATATAGATTTTCGTCTCTTTTGTCTGTACGTAATGAATCAATCGTTATAACCGATGAACAATAATGGGGAAAACAATAGTTATTCTTATATATGTCTTTAATATATTCAGGTCTCCTATTAACATAAATGATTAGAAATAGTAATAATACTAATTGAAAAATATCAGGACCTTTCTTGGGAGCCGATAAAGGTATAGAAAAGAAGGACTAAAATCGTACCCATAAATAGGCACACTTCTTCTTCCTGTGCCGTGTTCCCTCAGGACGTAAGCAATCATGGCTCTCCACAATTTCCTGTCCTTCGTCGTTCTTAATAATTTTTGTCTTTCTGTTATTTCTCCCAAACCCTGTTCCGCCATCCATTTACTCAAGTTCACTAAGTATGTTATGCGTTGTTTTCCTCTGTCCTTCTTGTCTTCAATCTGTCCTGTGAGTATCAGATTTTCCAAGCCCTCCTTCCTCATTATGTAGCCTAAAGGTTTCAGCTGTCTCTACTGATGTTAATTATAAGTTTTCTTTTTGTTTCCATTTTCTCTAGAACTTCGCCATTGGTCACATATTCGGTCATTGGTATCCTCAGCAACCTTCTGTAGAACCACGTTACTGTTGCTTCCAGTCTAGGAACCGTTAAAAAAACAACAGCAAAAAACAGCTTCGATTTTGAATAAAATGGAAATCCGAAGAAGACTGCCCGGGACACAGGATGTTGGGTGTTTGCGAAGATACTGAGGATGGGGATAGAAATTTGAGCAGAATTGATATGATTTAATTTCCAGCATTGACAACCAAATATCTTTTTTTTTTTTTTAAATCGAATTCATCCCATTGAAAAAGCAGTAGAGACACAAAGTTACAAAGGGTGAGTGGGCGTGAAAGAATTAGAAAACAGAAAACAATATCTCTATCTATAAAAGGCAGGATGTGTGTGTGTGTGTGTGTGTGTGTAACGAATGCACGGCCGCAATTTTCGACGGATTTGCACCCAAATTTACATGCACATGCTCCAAGTTAGCGGGAAGGCCAAGACCGACTTTGCATTTACCAACACCCATTGATAATGGAAATAATCGATTTCTTCATGCTTCTACGGCAGTTTTCATGTAGTTTACGGACATTTTCTATTGGCCAGAGTGAGAGCCTATAGCTGGCTGCCACGAATAGGCAGGAAGATTCTATTGGCCAGCGTGAGAGCCAACAGCTGACAGACACGAATGTTAACTAGCATGATATCATGCAAAAAAAATCGATAACTGTATTCGTCACAAGTGGGAAAAATTTAAATCTGCATGGCACTTTACTCCAATTGGCTCATTCGCTTGCTTAAACTCAACGTTGATTCTGATTCCGCAGAACTGGGTTGGGTGTGAAAAGTATTTGTTGTTAACATTCTTTTTTCATTCGGTTTTTCCAGTTACGAGTCCTTTTTTAAAGCTGATCGTTTTGTGTTCATTTCGTTTAGTTCTTTTTTCGTAACAGATTTAATGTTTAGTATGTAGCTTAGAAAAAATTCGCAGTGTGAGATAGGCAAGAAGTAAGGCACGTAGCAACATCAGCACGGCAAAGGGCACTCCTTTAAAGGCAAGGAAAGGCAAAAATATTTTAAGTCAAGTGATAGCGATTGCTGTATGAGTCGTACGATTTTTGAATCAAGCATGGGAAACGCCGGGCCATGCTGCTAGTTAAGAATATATTTAGAAGAATAATCAGGAAGACAGTAGATAATGATTTACATTGCGTTTACATTTTTGAAGCTCAAAGTTGGCTGGAAAACATGAAGCCGGAAGTATTCCACAAGAGAGAAGTGCGAGAAAGAAACGGTTAGCATGGAACTTACGGTTACATCTAGTCAATTCAACTGTAAATTTATGAGGCGTTGTTGCTAATCTAGTCAGTCAGTTATGTGCCATGCGTGATAGACGTTTATTCAGTCATGTATCTTTCGATAAATGACTGACGAGGCAGATTTTTTTCCCGCAGTAAGTTACCATTTCTTTCTGCGGTAGACCAGTTGCCATCTAAGGCTATAGAACCTGGTCTGTCCTGCAATTTGCCCATAGGTTGGTGGGCGGGGGAAGAAGATTCATGCCTTTTCCAAGTGAATGTGATGGATTCGACTGTAACTCGAACTCAGCTCTCCGATTCCTCAATCTGAGCTGCTATCCATTACTCCACATGTCAGAGATTATCCGAACAATTACCGTGGCAGTATTTATAGACAAGACACAGAGAGGCAACCTTTCAGCGGGGGAAAGTGACTGCAGCCGAGCGACAAATCATTAAAAAGCAAGTGGTTACTGAGTGAGAAAACTACTATTAAGGAAAGAGGACATTAAAAGAAGAAGAATTAAGAAGACAGAAAATAACGATTGACATTGCATTTCAGTTTTTGAAGATCAAAGTTGACTGGAAAGCAAGAGCCCGGAAGAATGTTCCACAATCGAGAAGTGCGAGAAAACAAACTGTTAGCATAGAACTTATGGTTATATATACCAACTCAACTGTGAATTGATGACACTTTGCTGCCAATCGAGTACTGCGCTTAAATTCATAAAGTTTAGGTAACATAGGTACCAATTCTTCTGAAAATGAAAATGCAGGAATAATAATAATAATAATAATAATAATAATAATAACAAAATAATAATAAAATAATAACACTGTGTCTGCGAAATAGTACGATCATGTAGCAAAGTGGGTCTGGGATTATTATTTTCAAACAGATCGAGTTATTAAACACTGAAGACCAGATACAGTCGTCCTCAATATAATTGAAACTTAATGCCAAATAATAGTTGTGACCATATCTGCTGACTACAATATGATAGCAACCAAATAGAAAAAATCAGCAACTATTCTGAACTGAAGTTGCCAGATTCTAGATAAATGCAAGAGAATGTTCGTCCTTTGTTCAAACACTTCCCAGATGTAGTCAGCAGATATGGTCACAACTATTATTTGGCATTAAGTTTCAATTATATTGAGGACGACTGTATCTGGTCTTCAGTGTTTAATAACTCGATCTGTTTGAAAATAATAATCCCAGACCCGCTTTGCTACATGATCGTACTATTTCGCAGACACAGTGTTATTATTATTATTATTATTTTGTTATTATTATTATTATTATTATTATTATTATTATTCCTGCATTTTCATTTTCAGAAGAATTGGTACCTATGTTACCTAAACTTTATGAATTTAAGCGCAGTACTCGATTGGCAGCAAAGTGTCATCAATTCACAGTTGAGTTGGTATATATAACCATAAGTTCTATGCTAACAGTTTGTTTTCTCGCACTTCTCGATTGACTTCTTTTATCACTCTCACTGCTACGTGATCGTACTACCTCGGCATATCATAGTCCATCAGAAGCATTAATCGGGTTCTTTTTTGCCGAAGTAGAAACTCCTGTAAACATTCACTAAAACTTCCATCTCTTCCAACGAAAGATTCACTGAGGGGCAGGTGTTATAGTGATGATAAAGAATTGAAAACTGCTGTAAAGAATTGGCTTCATCATACCTGCTCTCATTCGTAGGTGGAACATTGCCATTCAAAGAGGTGGTGACGATGTTGAGAAGTAGGGATGCGTACCTGTGATGTATAGAACTATCTTGCTGTACGATATATTTCATTTTGTTCCTTATTTTTTATATAATAAAACAAATTGCCATGTCCCTTCAGAACGTGGGCGATCATGACTCTCCACAACTACCTGTCCTTTATAACTCTAAATAAATTTTGTCTTTTTGCTATCTCTCCTAATACCTGTTGTGCCATCCATAAGCTCGTTAGGAAGGTTAAGCTCTGCTTTCTTCTGTCTTTTTGCCTTCAATCTGTCCTGTGAGATATTTGATGCGTTTCTTTTTCTTCCATGTACTGTGTTTCTTCAGGACATTGGTGATCATGGCCCTCCACAATTTCTGGTCCTTTGTAGCTCTTAGTAAATTTTGTCCTTTTGTTATCGCTCCTAATATCTGTTGTGCCAACAATTTACAAAAGCTCGTTGGTGAGGTCATGAACTGTTTTCCCTTCTCCTTGCCTTCACGCTGACCTGTGAAATATAATCTACGTAAAAAGAAATCGTCATGGGCATTTTTGATCTTTGACATGAGGAATTATGAGTATATTTCACTTTTTTAAAATTCCGATCTTGATTATTATAGCTATGGTCAAGTTTATTATTTATTTGGTCGAGCTATATCGGACATTCAGGAGTCTATCACATCAACCAACACGATTCTGCATCAAGGTGGGAAGGTCATGAGGGTGGCATTCTGTGTCATAACATAGCTGGTCAATGTAAGTGGTTGCTAGGCGATCAACCTGTCTTGCGCCATGGCTTGCAGATCACTCGCGACTTCTTGTTTTCTTCGCCAGCAAATTTCTGCAAAGCTCATTCAGTGTTCGTGTAAAATAGTAGAAATATCATGGATGGAGCCATAGAGCTGTGTTTTAGTTGGATGGTGTCCCCAAGAGATGTTAAGTATAACTCTCAGCATCCGTGTGTAGGTTCCATCAAGTTTAGACTAGGATTTTAGTTAACATCCAAGGAATGGTACCATGCATTAAAACGTCGTTTACAGTGGCGCGAAAGTATCTCCGTTTGAGGTTATCTGGTAGATCAGATTTCCAGATTATATTCATTGTATTCAAAGCGGCTCAAGCTTTAGCTATGCGAATTTTCACATCCTTTTCAAATGAATTTATTTTGCTTTCTAGCTATGTAAAAGATTCAACAGATTTTATTGGTTCACTTGAGGCAGTTTGTATTGAGTTTTGCTGGTTGAAGCTTATGAATTCAGTTTTAGAGGCATTGACATAGAGTCCAACATCGTTAGCAGCATTTTCTAGATGATGTAGGAGAACTGTGGCATTGGTGTTTGCAGTGATAGCTGGCATCGTCCATATCGGTCGACTTTTTTTGCAGGATAACGACTTGAGACTTTTGGTGATAAAGTAAAACCTAGATGATGATGTTTGTCGAGTGAAGTTCACCAGTACAACCAAGTTGTCAAGTACCCTCTAATAATAATAATAATAATAATAATAATAATAATAATGAGCGCTTTTGTAAACTAAAAACGTATAAAAAAACAACAACAACCTGAGACTCCTCCTCCTGCTACTATTTGTAATACTACTACTACTAATAAATCTTTCTAGTCCTCGGTATAACGATAAACTACATCCAGCAGCAAGGCCTGTGATCGGGAGATTGGAGGTTTTGTGGATTGTAGAACCACCTCTTAAATACTGTTATTCCCATATCCACCCTGACCTGTTAGGGTCCCAGCTATGAGCAAATAGTAAACCCCATTCAACACTTCTTTTCTTCTTTTTATGTGCCATGTCCTTTCAGGACGTAGGCGATCATGGCTCTCTGCTTCCCCCTATCCCTTGTAGCTTTCAATAAGTTTCGTCTCTCTGCCACCTCCCACAGACCACGTTCTGTCATCCACTTGCTTAAGCCCGCCAGGTATGTCATGCATTGCTTTCCCTTGTCTCTCTTTCCCTCTATTCGACCTGTGAGTATCAGATTCTCCAGGCCCTCCTTTCTCATTACATGTCCCAGAAACTTCAGATGCTTTTTCCTGATGTTAAGTATAAGCCTCCTCCTTGTTTGCATCCTCTCCAAAACCTCATCGTTGTTCACACGCTCGGTCCATAATATCTTCAGCATCCTTCTGTAGACCACATCTCCGTCGCTTCTAGTCTTTCCTTCATCTTCGAGGAGACTGTCCAACATTCGCTACCGTATAGGAGGACAGATGTAACGTAACAATTCAATATTCATTTTTTTTTGTTACCAAAGATTCTACTGTCTTGCAATACTCTGCCCAGCTTTTGGAATGTGTCCTTGGCTATCCCAATACGTCTACGGATCTTGGTGTCGCACTTGCCGTCCTCTGACAAAACACTTCCCAGATATTTAAACTTCCGCACCTGCTTGATTCTAGTGTTCCCCACCTGCAAATGGCATTTTGGGTTCATCCTTTTACTGATGACCATGCATTCTGTATTCTTGTAGTTCATGCTTAGTCCCTTCTTCTCGCTATGAAAGTATAAAATGTATTTTATAGTAAAAATACCAGCAGTATATTTTATATACAAAAATTACCCTCGATACATATTTATTATAAAATTACCAACAATACATTTTTATAGTAAAAATACCAACAATACATTTTATATAAAAAATGACTGATACACATTTATATTAAAATGACCAATACATTTTTAAAGCAAAATGACTAGCAATACATTTTTATAGTAAAAATACTAACAATACATTTTTATATAAAAAAATAACTGATACACATTTATATTAAAATGACCAATACATTTTTAAAGGAAAATGATCAACAATACATTTTATCTGTAGTTGAAGGCATACAATTGCGTTCAAAATATATTTAGTTGAAATCAACCAGATATTACTACTACTACTACTACTACTACTACTACTACTAATAATAATAATAATTCTGCTAATAATAATATCAAGCCATAGTGATTTGGTGGGGTGGCCAGTTTATTGTATAGATATTTTATGAGAGTTGTGGATATTTATGCGAGTGACGATTGGGGCAAGAAAGAAATTACAAACAATATTGTGCTCACCACAGCAACATTTTAGTCTTATTCTTCCTCTATGCGCCATGTCTCTTCAGGACGTTGCTGATCATGGCTCTCCACATTTTCCTGTCTTTTGTAGCTCTTAGTAAATTCTGTCTTTTTGCTATCACTCCTAATACCTATTCTGCCACCCATTTACACAAGCTCATTAGGTAGGTTATGTGCTGTTTTCGTCTATTCCTCTTGCTTTTAATATATCCTGTGAGTTTCAAATTCTCCGAGCCGTCCTTCCTCATTATATGCCCAATGGCCGTCGACGTTTAATTGCAATAACGAATATATCATCCTAAATTTTTTTTCTATGCACCGTGATCATTTAGCACGTTGGCGGACCATGGCTCTCCACAATTTCCTCTCCTTTGTAGCTCTTAGTCAATGTTACCTTTCTGCTGTCTCTCTTAAACTCTGTTCTACCAAACATTTACACAAGCTCGTTAGACAGATCATGCGCCGTTTAAACAAATAAATACGTTAAATAGATTACTCACTGTTTTATCCTCTTACTTTCAATATGCCTTGTGTGTGTTAAATTCTCTAGGCCTTCTTTATGGTATGCACAGATAGTAAACTGTAGAAACTCCTAGACAAGGTCATAAATAAAGGCGGAAATAAAGGCTTAAACACCAGAAAATAAAATAAATGGCTGTTGCGAAGAGGGACATCCCAAGATTCGACTTACGAATTGGAGATGTTAAAATTAAGCAAGTACAGAAATTTGAATATTTGGGAAGTACTTTAAGAGAGGACGGAAAATGTGACACCGAAATCCGAAGACACATTGGAACACTGGCCAAGAAAAGATGCCTTCCCGAAAAACAAAGTATTAAGAAAGAAGAAATTATTGTTAGAAACAGAGTGCTGAACAGTTATGGAATATCAAGGAAGTGAATGCCGCAAAAATTTCCTCACAGATGAAGAGAAGACTTGAGTCAACGGATATGGTCCTACAGAAGGATGCTGAGTATAACATGGACAGAACATGTGAGGAACGAGCAAGTTTTGGCAAACATGGAGAAACGTGCCCGCAGTGCGAAAAGGACGGTTTTTCCCATCTCACCGCGTTTTTAACTACCTGCACTCCCATGACAATGTTTATTATTTTTTTTAAAAGCGATGATTAGAATAAAAATATTTCAAACTGGATGTTAAATTCCTTAATCTTTAAGAAGTGGATAATCTTTTCTAACGGTATCAGTTATTTGCCATGCGTAATACACGCTTAGGAGATCATGTATCTTTCGATACATGACTGACGAGGAAGATTTTTTACCGCAGTTGGTTGCCATTTCATTCTACAGTAGACCAGTTGCCTTCCAACTATTTACCCATAACTATGGGAGAGGAAGAGGATTTTCCAAGGGTATTATCACGTAAATGAACGTAATGGATTCGAGTGGAATTCGAACTCGGCTCTCCGATTTCTCAATCCGAGCCGCTATACATTACTCCACCGTACCTCCTGGTTTCGCATAAGCATACTTAAATATACAATTTAATGCATTTTCTAAAAAAGTGATATATTTTTATTTATTAATCCGACAGATTTTATTACTTTAAACATTATTTTAGTGGATGCACATATTTTAGTAGACGCTCTGTTTATTTATTAAACAGTATATTTATTTATTTTTGTCTACCGGCCTGAATATTCGTGAAATCTTATTTAAGAAAAATATGCGCTCCCTGGCAGGAAAGAAAAGAATGTTTAAGTAATCAAATAAAGTTTTAAAAATAAATGCGTATTTCAGGAGACTTCTTTATAATTTTCCTGTTTTCAAATTTCATCAGTAATTGTTTCTTATTAAAATTTAAAGAGTGACTTAGAGTTTTAGATGTTCCACAAGTGCACCCAAAAGTAAAATATGTTGAGAAACACTGCAAAAGACTAAATGGTCAAACATCAGAATTTGGGAACAGAGAGAGAGAGAGAGAGAGAGGGTGGGGGGGGGAGACAGACAGTGGCCAAACATCAGAATTTGGGAACAGAGAGAGAGAGAGAGAGAGAGAGAGAGAGAGAGAGGGGGAGACAGACAGTGTCCAAACATCAGAATTTGGGAACAGAGAGAGAGGGAGAGACATACAGACTGACAGACAGAAACAGAGAGAGAAAGAGAGAGAGAGAGAGAGAGACAGACAGACAGACAGACAGTGGCCAAACATCAGAATTTGGGAACATAGAGAGACAGAGACAGAGACAGAGACAGAGAGACAGACAGTGTCCAAACATCAAAATTTGGGAACAGAGAGAGAGAGAGAGAGAGACAGACAGACAGACAGACAGACAGTGGCCAAACATCAGAATTTGGGAACAGAGAGAGAGAGTGAGAGAGAGAGAGAGAGAGAGAGAGTGGCCAAACATCAGAATTTGCGAAAAACAGAGAGAGAGAGAGAGAGAGAGAGAGAGACAGACAGACAGACAGACAGACAGTGGCCAAACATCAGAATTTGGAAACAGAGAGAGAGAGAGAGAGACAGACAGACAGACAGACAGACAGACAGAAACAGACAGTGGCCAAACATCAGAATTTGGGAACAGAGAGAGAGAGAGAGAGAGAGACCTTGAGAGAGAGACAGAAACAGAGAGACTGACTGAAAGAGAGAGAAAGAAACAGATGTGTACAGGGAAAGAGAAAGAGAGACAGACAGATACAGAGAAAGATGCAGTGTCATGTCTTAAAAGTAAATGCATATTTCAATAGAAATTTTATTATTTATTATTGTATTATTTTCAAATTTCAAGACTCATATTTCCCTTATTTTTATATTTACATACATATTTTATAAATCATTTCACCCAAGGCAAGGAGTTAATTCCACTATTACGCAGGGGGATACATGGAGTGAAAGTGAAAGAGAAGACTGAGAATAGAGAGGATTGATGAAAGGACAAAAGATGAACGGGACTCAAAAAGACAGAAGATGGAAATTTACATTGCATTAAAAATTTTTGAAGTTATCAGGGAAGCAAGAAAACCGAAGGGAGTTCCACAGATCGGAAGTGCGAGAAAAACTGTTAGAGTAGAAGTGGTGGTTGAATCTAGCTATTTCAATAGTAGAATGGTTGGACCTAGATGCCAATCTAGTAGCACGCTTAAATTCATGTATACGGGGTACTAGGGAAAGAAGATCGTCAGAGCAGTTACCATGAAATTATTTGCAGAAAAGAAAGAGAGAATGCACGTCACGTCGGTGGGAAAGCGATTGAAGTCCTAATGCCTGGTCAGGATCGATTACATTAGAGAACTTTCTTTAGATTTTGTCAAGAATCTCAAGATGTACAGCAGAAGCCAGACCTGATATGGCAACATTTACACAAAAAATTTGTAATTAAATGAAGAGTATGACATTATTTTCTGATTAAATTTTAATTACTTAACTGCATCTTTAAAGCCAAATATTACAAAATCAAACATGGCTTGAAAACTATTTTCTCCTTACAAGAAATGAAATTAATCATAGGAAATTGCTTTTTTTACAAGTTTAATTTCAATTTTTTTGACAATGTAAGCCATGTCTTCAATTTTACTACAGAAATGTATTGGACATTTTTTATAATGTATTACTGGTAAATTCACTACATAAATGCATTGTTGATATTCATTTTATAAAAATGTATTTTTAGTTTCTTAGAGTTTTCATTTTTGTTTGGGGGTGGGGTTCACTATTTGCCCACAGCTGTGACCCTAACAGGTGCTACCACCCCGGAAAGAATTGAACTAACTATGGATAGTCTTTCCACTTGACAGTAGTGTACAGGCAATGCCTGTCCAAACACCACTGCACAGGTTGAAGTTGTTCCTTCGCAGATATGAAATGATGGTATTAAACATATACATTTTACCACAACCTCCTAGTGCATCTACATAGAAACAGGAGTTTTGGGCACTATTTACATTATTCGGACTATGGTCTTCATCTTTGCCGCCATATCCACTGTGCCATGTGTCCTTGAGGAGACATAGCACAGTGGATAAAGGCGTTAGTTAGATCCAGTGACAGGATTCAATGTACGAAAAGTACGCCCCGGAGTATTAGTTATTCTATAAGCGCATCCTGAAGTTAAAAAGATGGTTGAGAAACACCAGTATACATTAAAGAGCCAGGAAATTAAAAAAAAAAATACAGAAGCATCGATTGAATAAAAAAAACCCCAACAAATTGCTAAGCGACTGTACTGTCCTTTTGTGTTAGTAATTATCTCCCTGCGGACGTTTAACAAGATAAGATTAAAATCTACTCTTAGTGGGCAGCAATTTCCGTGTATTCATCCGCCTGCTGAGATAGCGCACTGACCATGCATCTTACACGGCGTTTGAACCACGGACAAAAATAGTGGGTGGTCTTTGAACTTGCCGCTACACCCGGATAAGCACGTTAGTTCTGACGGCGATGGAGAGTCGGGGATCATTGGGAACTGACCATTGTTGCTTGAATGCGTGAAATATGTGCGTCGTTTGTTTTAGCGTTTCTATGAATAAGTGAAACGTCAAAACAATTAACCTTGAAGAGAAAGTTTAAAAACCGATTGTTCTTTGTTTCTTTCATGCCTTCTTTGTCTATTTACATTTGGATGACATTTTACTTTGCGTTTATTAATTTTTTACCAGCGGAAATGCCATGCACTTAACTCGATGGCATCAAGAGTTATGGCGATGATGTCATTTCGTCTCTACGTGTCAACCTTTACGGTTATTATGAGCACAACCCCACCAACCGAACAGGGAAATGAGTAATATTTACACAGGTTAAATGAGTCTGGTGCAAGGTTCAATGATGAAGTTTCCAATGAGGATAGAATTGATTAGACTATTGTTTAAGCGTTCAATATGAAAAAATAGTTTTAATAAGAACAATAATATTAAAATTTTATGAGAAAAATAATTAAGATGTTGAAATTGTGTAAAAATGAATATAGAAATTATTTTAACAAAAATTATTAATATTGTATGAGATACTAAAAAATGTCGGAATGTCTAAAAATTAATATAAAAATTATTTTTTGCAAAAAAGATAATATTGGATGAAACATTAATTAAACCATTATAATGTTACTCAAACGGTTTCTTTGAGAAAGATCCACCAAAATGAAACCAGATGCTTTAAGAGAAAAAAAAAAATGCATAAAAATTAATGTTTAAAGATCTGAAAAAAAATAAAGAGGCTGCAAATTGATGCGATAAATGTTCGCCAAAATGAAGCCAGGCGATTAAATCATTATGTAATGAAGATTTACAAAAGTGATGCTCAAACCAACCAAATTTGAATTGCAAACCAGCGCAATTTGATTGGGTAATGATACTCGAGTTTTTCACCAATAAAATATATACGCCCCCCCCCCACTCTAAGAACTTGGGTTTTGATCGGGTTGGAGTCACTTGTTTGCTATGTTAGAGGAAAAATTTTGGTCGCAAAGTCAGAAAGGAATATACTACTCGGGCGAAAAAAAATCTATTGTCTGGGTAGAAAGGTTTGACTGTCTCAGGCTTGTAAAGCCTGCTGCTGATTTTTCTCAAAGGATTGACCGTCTCAGGCGTGTAAAGTGAGTCATCTGCAAAAAGAAATAGACCATCCGCTTGAGAAAACTTTTAATTATTAAGAATTTTGGGGTGTAATATCCATTGCGGCTACTGCTGAGAAAGGATTCGACTACCCGAGGAAAGCTGTTACCCAGGATGATAAAAGACTGTTTCTGCTATTACTACTAATACTGCTATTGTTGTTGTTGTTAAAGAAGAAGAAGAAGAAGAAGAAGAAGAAGAATACCCCTTAAATATATAAGAATTCTCTTTACGAAGAATTTTTTTCTAAATTTATGAGTTTATCTAATTCAGGTACCCTTTCTAAACCTGTGAGTAATTATCTCATATTTGAGAAATCTGAATATTTGTCATAAGGATCTAGAAAAGCTGCTTCGCCTAACGAAACAACCTACTTCGACCTTTGAAAATCTTGAATTGCTAACTTTTTGAAGTAAATAAATTTATTTTGTTGATTTATATGAAGTGTTGCTTTGAAAGACATTTGTTAAAATTCCTTTGCTATTAAGAAAAAGTAACTGTTTGTTAGTTTGTTGTTTTTGTTTAGTGGCATATCAACCAGTAGGGGGTCATTTGATCTAAACATGAAAATCCAAAAATTTGTAATTAACTGAAGAGTATGACATTATTTTCTGATTAAATTTTAATTACTTAACTGTATTTTTAAAGCCAAATATTACAAAATCAAGCAAGGCTTGAAAACTTTTTTCTCCTTACAAGAAATGAAATTAATCATAGGAAATTGCTTTTTTTACAAGTTTAATTTCAATTTTTTTGACAATGTAAACCATGTCTTCAATTTTACTACAGAAATGTATTGGACATTTTTTATAATGTATTACTGGTAATTTCACTACATAAATGTATTGTTGACATTTATTTTATAAAAATGTATTTTTAGTTTCTTAGAGATTTCATTTTTGTTTGGGGTGGGATTCACTATTTGCCCACAGCTGTGACCCTAACAGGTGCTACCACCCCGGAAAGAATTGAACTAACTATGGATAGTCTTTCCACCTGACAGTAGTGTAGAGGCAATGCCTGTCCAAACACCACTGCACAGGTTGAAGTTGTTCCTTCGCAGATATAAAATTATGGTATTAAACATATAAATTTTACCACAACTGCCTAGTGCATGTGTCCTTGAGGACATATAGCACAGTGGAGAAAGGCGTTAGTTAGATCCAGCAACAGAACCCAAGTTCAATACCTGGCTAAGGTGGTGGAGAACTTGGAGAGGGGAATTAACAGATTACTGATAACTGGCATCCATTAGACATGGCACGTGGAACTAGAACAGTTTACCCCAGCGAAATAAAGGGTTCAGTTCAACATTCTAACCACCTGAAGAAGGCCGAAACGTTGTAATATATGTCCTCAAAGACATATGACACAGTGGATAGAGTGTGAGTTCAATACTCGGTTAAGGTAGTGGAGAACTTGCAGAGGGGAATTAACAGGAGATAACTGACATCCATTAAACATGGCACGTGGAACTAGAACAGTCTACCCCAGTGAGCGAAATAAAGGGTTCAGTTCGACATTCCAACCATCTGAAGAAGGCCTGAGCGTACAACGGCCGAAATGTTGTAATACATATGGCGACAAAGATGAGGACAATAGTCCTAATAATGTAAATAGTGTACATAATACCTCATCTCAGAAATATAGACAGATACTGAAGGAGTTTTGGGTTACCTTACCTCTTCTCTTCTTATCTGTAGATTCAATCACAGTATTAGTAATCAGTCTGTTTATCAGTAACTCGCCTGAAGTATGCAGCAACAACATTCGCAAATGAAATTTTTCTGTGTCTCCAAGGCTCACTGTATACATTCTACTGATGATATTAGTATTCTATTGCCTTGCTGTTCAAGTTCTTGTGCGCTTATTAAACACATCATGCAGCAGAATGTCAGGGTACAAGTAGTTCATCTCTATATCACACTAAAAGGGGTTCATCTCTATAACGAACTAAAACATACACATATTGCACACACTTAATTAAGCTGAAAAATTGAATCATCCTTGATAATGGCTAAAGGTATAGCCGAAAGCACTTGGAAGTATAAAACATTTGAACAGTTTTACACACTCTTTGTCCAGAAAAGAAAACTCTTGTTCGAACACAAGAAAAATGAAATAAAAAGCTTAACCGTAGTATCTTGTCTGTCGTATTTAATAAACCATGCATAAACGAAGGATTGCTGTTTAAAAATACAAATATATATATATATATATATATATATATATATATATATATATATATATAAATATATACTTGTAAAAATTCATTCTAATATACATATATATATATATATATATATATATATATATATACTTGTAAAAATTCATTCTAATATACATACACACACACACACACACACACATATATATATATATATATATATATATATATATATATATATATTAGAATGAATTTTTTTTATTAATCCGACAGAATTTTATCACTTTAGGCGTTATTTTAGTGGCTACTCGAATTTAACAAGATTTAATTTATTAAACAAACGGTTTAGAGAAAACGACTGCAGCAGAAATATTTTTATACATTCTTTAAATTAATGTCTCCTTTGCTGTGATTGTATGAGATATATACGCGCTAATTGCATTAAGTTTCAATAAATGGCGTTAAAAGTTAACATGGTGTAAATTCCACCAACATAGTTCAAGTAGTTTTATCTATCTATCTATCTATCTATCTATCTATCTATCTATCTAAATCTGTTTTTTTTTTCTATTTATCGATCTATCTCAATCAGTTTCTATCTATGTCATTCTATTCATATCTAATTCTGTTTCTTTTTATCTACCTCTATTTGTATCTATCTATCTATCTATCTATCTATCTATCTATCTATCAGTCTTTGTATATCTATCTATGTGTCTATGTCAGTATTTGAATATCTATCTATCTATCTATCTATCTATCTATCTATCTATCTATCTATCTATCTATCTATCTATGTCAGTCTTTGAATATCTATCTATCTATCTATCTATCTATCTATCTATCTATCTATCTATCTATCTAATATTTACTATGCTTAATTAAACCAGTATGTATTTAGAGGATCTAGAAGAAATTGCCTTTTGTCTCCATGGGTCCAACTATGACCCCCACCAGGGAAAAGAGCTCCTTATTCCGCTATGTAGCAATGCAGTAAGACGCTAGTTAAGTATTGCTTCGTCTTGTGCAAGACCACAACTCGTGGCACCTGGTGTGGATCGGAAACAGTAAAGACATACAAACTACATATTTACTATTTAGATTTGTCTTGTAGAACGGTCTACATTGGGATCGAACTCACCACGCTAGATAATGGATTGAGAGGCTCGCCTGTAGCCATCACTGTAAGCTTGAAATCCTTCTAACTTTTGTAAAGGAAATAAAAAACATTATTATATAAATACATACATTCAGATAAACACATGAATAAAAAAAAAACGATGAGTGGCGAAGGTAGGGGGATTATTTCCCCTTACATATGTAGTCATGTGACACTGTAGTAGTCTCGTGAGAAGAGAATATATAAAAAAAAAAAAACAGCGCTGAAGTAAATAAAACAAACTCTTATTTCGGATCACAATTGACGAACGGGGTAATGCATAGCAGTAATGAAGGAACTAATTCTCAGCGACTTGCTTTCTCCCTACTATTGTCACGTTTGCGCGTGCGCACAGACATACACATTTTCTCTATCCTCCGCTCTCTCTCCCAACTTTGAAAAAAACTTGTAATGAAGTGATGATACGGAGCTGGAATAAAAACACGGGTTTTATTTACAACGGGGGATATTGGGACTGAAAGCTTCTAGGAAATAGATAAGGGGCAATAATTCTTTATGTATGG